CACTCTCCCTCTTCTTACTTTACCTACAATTGCTACAGATGTGGAAGAAAGGAGAAAAAAGAAAAAAAAATAGAGTTAATAGAGAGTTGTTGTTCTAGCCTGCCAGATTAACTGGCATGGCCTGAACTGGGTGTTCTTTGTGTTTGTGACAGGGGTTTATGGATAAGTAAGAAAGAGGATTTGTACTTAAATATCAGAAATATTCTAATGCTTGGCTGGTTATACTGTTCATGCTTTTATCTCTTACATTCTCCTTCTCCAAATCATTTGTCCTCTGGTGGATCTTGACAAAGCTGCACAAAATTAACAGACATGCAAAGCCTGGATGAACAAAATTGATTTGCCTATAATCTGTTTGTGAAGAGATCGGGACGTGGTTGAAGTGATTTTAATTTCAGAGCCCAAGTCGCTAGTCTGTCTTTTTGTCAGGCAATTAGTTCCACTGACTGGGCAAGAATGCTGCAATGCAAAGTGCCCGGGGGGACCAGGCAGATGGAAACAGCATATCCTTTTTTGGTTCTTTGGAGCCTTCCTCGTGCCAGGGTTCTTTTTTCTGTTTGGTTTATTTTGGGTAAAATTCCCTGCTTGGCACTAGGCTCTGTGACTTTGCTGGGGCACAGGGCTGTGAAATCAGTGACCCAAAGGACAGGCCTGAGGGCCAAATCTGTAGGTGAAATTTCTAGATGAAGACCTTGAGGGAAGTGAGCAGGAGAGGAAATTCTGACAGCAGTTACTACTTCTGGCCTGTCTGGCTGTGCATTAGGATCGTCACTCATGGTATTTTACTTTATTTAACAATTCCAAATGATACTAATATCCTCATTTTGCAGCTAATGAAAGAGAGGGGCAGAGAAAGCTTAGTCATTTGGCAAAGTTGCATCTCTAAGAAGTGCAGAGTCAAGGTTGAAGCATGGTGCTCTTTTTCCTTGGACTGTGCTGGCCACTCAGGAACCTACAGAAGCCATCGCCTCTTGGTCTCTGGGAAGGGAAAAGGTGTAGATAAAGAGGCAGAATAACTGTAACCGTAACAAGGTGCTTCCACCCCGTTGGGCAGGGTCTTTGTCTTCTTCCCTTAATTATTCTTCGTACCTCACTGAATGTGGCTCATCTAAGGCACAACATAGGCACATAGGAGGCAGACCCATACTTGACCAGTGACTGAAATACATTTTTGTCTGAGTCCCGCAATGACCATGAGCAGTAACAAGGAAAGGTATTAGTATCTTTATTTGTGATACTTTACCTGAATTAAAGGGACTATCTTACAAACCCAAAGCTGATTTAAATAAATTTGGGTTGTTTTAATTGTCAGGGTGACAGCTTACCTACGAAGGTTGCAGGCTCTTGGAAGCAGGGACAATTTCCTATACACTTTTTTATCCCTCCCCACAGCACAGAGAACGTGTCTATGAGCACAGAAAGTTCTTCCAGACAGTGCTACTCTACAGGCCAGCAGGGACCAATTGGTAACATTTAACATACTACCCTACTTCAAAGCCAGAGGAAGAAGTGAATAATTTTTGAATGAATAAATGAATGAATACCATAATGCAAGTGTTTTCTTAATATAGACTGAGCTAATTACGGTGATCAGTCATGGGCCGAATTAGTGCTTTCCAGGGCAGCTGACTCCATTTTTCAAAATGAATAATCAAAAAGAGCAAAACAACTCATTTCTTAAAGATGTCAAAGTGCAATTTTAAATGTCATGTTAAGTAATGGCAAAATGCTAGAGCGGGTTAGTCCTGATTGCTGCTATTTAACGGCCATTTAAAAACAAGGCAAGCATAATGTTTGCACCAATATGGCATTTAAATAGTCAAAACCAATAGTCAAAATGAACTCTATTTTGATAATGAATTAATTAGTATTTACTAATAACATTTCATTTACTTTATACCATTTTTTCATGAAGCTTAAATTGTATCATTGTTATGAATATCTTGTTATCTATCTGTGTCAGGAGACTGGCATTGCCTTTTAAAAAAATGACAGAGAAATGAAAGTCCTGATACATTAAGGTTTTTATTTACCGTGACGCCCAGCCAGCGATATTCTGTGATATTCTGAGCTGTCTTTTCTTACCTTGTGATTGTCTCAGCAACACTTCTAGGGACGTTCGAATAAAAACAAATAGCAAAGCAGACGCCACAAAGGCTGCACTTCTTGCCCTAGAATCCCCACAGAGTGCAGAATATCTTAACTTGCTGGATGCCCTACCCAGCCTCTTAGGGAAGAAGTTTGTTTATCAGTTCAGCATGGTGGTGTTTTGTGGAAGCATGACAAAGGCTGTGATACATCTAGCTCCTTTCAGTCCTTCCTTTAGCTAGTCCCATCTATAAGAATGCCCATCTTTAACTAAGAGTGAGCTGATACAGTTTGGGTGGGGGGCCATATCTCCAGTGTAAAGTCACCCATTCATTCATTTGCCAAATATCTGCAAGTGCTCGGCACTGGGAACACAGTGACAAATGCCACACAGCCCCTGCTTTCAAGGACCTCATGGTCTACTGGTAACTCAGACCAGTAGATCAACAACCACCACGAAGGGCAATCGGCACTCAGTGGGGGTAAGCGGAGACTGCCAAGGAAGCCACGTTGTACAGCCTGGGAGATAAGAAAACACTTCCCAGAAAAATAGCAATAAGTCATGAAGTCATGAAGCTTAGACAAAGGTTTCACAGGTGATGGGGGATAGAGAGAATGAAAGAGAATGGGGCTTGATTGAGCCTGTGGGAAGTATAGTGCCCATATTGGCTACTTATTTATTTTAGAGACAGGGTTTCATCCTATTGCCTAGGCTGGAATCCAGTGCCACAATCATAGCTCACTGCAGTCTCGAACTCCTGGCCCCAAGTGATCCTCCTGCCATGGCTTCCCAAAACACTGGAATTACAGGTATGAGCCACTGTGACTGGCTATACATTTGGCTATTTAATTATAAGTGAATGGCCAGGCGCGGTGGCTCAAGCCTGTAATCCCAGCACTTTGGGAGGCCGAGGTGGGTGGATCACTAGGTCAAGAGATCCAGACCATCCTGGTCAACACGGTGAAACCCCGTCTCTACTAAAACTACAAAAAATCAGCTGGGCATGGTGGCACGTGCCTGTAATCCCAGCTACTCAGGAGACTGAGGCAGGAGAATTGCCTGAACCCAGGAGGCGGAGGTTGCGGTGAGCCGAGATCGCGCCGTTGCACTCCAGCCTGGGTAACAAGAGCGAAACTCCGTCTCAAAAAAAAAAAAAGAAAAAAAATTATAAGTGAATGAAAATTAAATACAAGTAGAAATGCAGTTTCTCAGTTGTACTAGTCACATTGAAAGTGCTCAATAGCCACTTGTGGCTGCTACATTGGACCACACAGATATGAAATATTTCCACAATCACAAAGTTCTGCTGGACATTGCTGCTCTAGAGGCTGGCAGGGGTCAGTCAGTGAGGAGATTTGAATGACACACCAAGGTGTTTGGACCTTATCCTGAGGATAAGATGCCACTGAAGCATTCAATATAGGGGAGTAGAATGATTAAATCTGTGGTCAGTTGGGGGGAAATAGGGGAGGGACAGTGGGGGGTGGGGAGCTGGGGAGAGATAGCATGGGGAGAATTGCCAGATGTAGGTGATGGGGAGGAAGGCAGCAAATCACACTGCCACGTGTGTACCTATGCAACAATTTTGCATGTTCTTCACATGTACCCCAAAACCTAAAATGCAATAAAATAAATAAATGGGGAAAAAAAGCCACTCTATAGGTCACAAAAGAGGCAAGGCTAGGAATTAGAAGTATCAGTGTAAAAAGTATTGGATTAAACAGAACGAGAGAAGATGGGGGCCTTGGATGGGTAAAATAGGAGAGAAGTGTATGGACTCAAGAAATTTTAAAAAATAGAAAATTTTTAAAATATTTTATAAAAAAATAAAAATAAAAAATGAAATAGAATCAAAAAAACATATTAAACAATATAGAACAATAAACAGATGTGGAGGATGAGAAGGCAGTGGTGAGGCTGATCTCTGGCTTGGACAGCTAGTGAATGATGACACCGTTAACATAGACAGGGACAACGGCAGAGGAAAGGAACAGGTCTGGGGACAAGTGATAATAAATTCAACTTTTCTTTTGCTATAGTTAAGGTGTACAAGGAGGCATCCAAGTAAGCTGCAGAAGACTTTTAAATAGAGCTAAAGCTCAAAGGACAAATCTAGGCTGGAGGTTAAGATTTTGATGTCACCACTATATGGATGACAGTTTAAGTCATGGTAGTAAAGGAACTCCCCAAAGGAGAGAATGTGGAATGAGATGCTAAGAAGGTGGAGGTCTAAACTCATAGAACATTGATGGTGATAAGATCAGCCTAGGAAGAAAAGCCGAGGGAAGCAACCAGGGAGGTAGAAATAGAACCAAAAGAAAGTAATGGGATTCAAGTAAAGAGAGAGTACTTAGGAAAAAGGAGTGGTCATTGTGTTAAAAGAGAAAGGTCGATCCTTGGGGAAAGCACTTCCAGAGAATTGATGAGGGCAGAAGGTACATTGCAGTGGGTTGAAGAGTGAATGGGAGTTGAAGAAGGGACAACAAATATAAATGACTCTTTCAGGATAGCTCATTCCCGTCTATATCCACTGTGCCATTTTCAAATGTCTGCCTCATAGTAAAGATATTTGTGAACTGTGTTACCTTCTAAGACACTCTAAGCTCATTAAAAGTACAGATGGGTATTCTATATTTTTTCTCCTCATTGTTTCTAGTGGGGGTTTTACATATAGAAAGTGCTCTGTTTAAATGTTTAATACATTTCCAGCTTTTAAATTTTCAGGCTCTTGTTGGGCTTAAATATCAAATGTGTATTATTTTCATGTGCTATTCCCTTACACAACTTTTTTTGATTGAGAAGGACTCACTTTCAGGTGAGAAAAGGTAAGTCCATAATTTAATGGACTCTTACAGTTTCAGGAAATTTTGTGAGTTGGGGGAGGGGAATTAAAAAAATCAGAAAACAGAACAAGGACAAAGTGTTTTAATAGAAAATCTATTACGATTATTTACACCATTCCTTGACAAGCATATAAATGTAAACTTTTATTGTTGGCATTATTTCACATATGATTTATCCAAATTTAGAGTTAATACTGTCGTTGGAGTGTACAGGTAGTGAGAAAATTTTGTTATATTCACAGAATATACATCCACGTGCATTCAAAATGTGTCCTTCTCTAAGCCAGTGGTATAGACACTGTCCCATTGGCTCTGCTTCTGCCTCGCAGGTGTACACTGGGATCAGTCACATCATCCACATGCTCCTCACTCTTCTTTTCCTTCAGGCTGTTGATGAACCTCAGGGTGATTTCATCCCATTCTTCAGGCAACAGCATCAGCAGAAACCCAATGCAGATGATGATGGTGGCAGCCAGGCGGACAACATTGAATATCACCTCCTGCTTTAGGAGATCCACAGCTAGGAAAGAAAAATCAAGTCAGTCACAGCCTATGCCTGGTTCTAAGCTTTGAAAACAAGTCACCAAAGTCTGTGTTACTTCTAGAGATTTCCAAGAGTCGTCTTTATTTTTCCAAGTTAGCATTTCCTTTTTCCATCTTGCGGGATTTACTTTCCATTCCCTGTCTCTAAATCATGTTTATCCTTCAAGGTTTGGCTCAGATTCCATGTAATCTGACTTACCTGCCTCCCCCGTTTTCTCTCAATACTTCTCCTCTGTACTCCTTTACCCTTCTCCAGCTTCATTGGACCATTGAAGATTTTTCAAATGACCCCAACTTGTATCTAAGACTTGTGTGGGCTGTTCTTTTTAAAAATTTAATGGAGGTGAAATTCATGTAGTATAAAATTAACCATTTTAAAGTGGACTTAGCGGCACTTAGTATATTCAGAATATTACACATCCACCACCTCTCTCTGGTCCCCAAATGTCTCCATCACTTAAAAAAAAAAAAAAAACAAAACCCCATACTCATTAAGAAGTTACTCCTCAGCTTCTTAACCCCACTCCTCAGCTCTTAGCAACCACCAATCTGCTTTATTCCCCATATGGATCTGCCTATTCTAGATATTTTATATAAATGGAGCTACAGTCTCTGTGACCTTTTGTGAGTGGCGTCTTTCACTTAGCATAATGTTTTTGAGGTCCATCTATGTTGTAGCATGTGTCAGTATCTCATTCCTTCTTATGGCCTGAATAATATTTCATTGTATCATAATTTGGTTATTCATTTATCTGCCGATAGACAGTTAGGCTCCTCTACCCTTTTGCTATTGTGAATAGGGCTACTATGAACATTTGTACATGAGGATTTTTTGAATCTCTGTTTTCACTTTTTGGGGGTGAAAAAAGTGTGTACTGAGGAGTGGAGTTGGTCACACATGTGCTGTTCCTTTTGCATGAGCTACCCTTCACTCCTCATATCTCACTTCATCCAGCTAAACCTCTCCTTAGATCTCTCTCCTTAGGCTTCTCGCAGGAAGCCTTTTGGATTCTCCTCCGATGCACCGTCACAGCATTCAGCACATACCTCTATCAAAGCAATTCTCTCTCTGTGTTGTAATTACTCATTTTTTTTGTCTCCCTCTCAATGCTGCCTGGTCCTGAGGGCAGGGATATACCTTATTCAGGACCTGTCACTAGTGTTAACACGGTTCCTGGTGTACACTAATTGCTTGGAAATTATTTGTGAGATGAATGAATGAACTTCCTTGACAACTCCACTCTGTGATTCATTTCCTCTGAATATCTTATAGTCACTGGAGTCTATCTCACACAATTTGGCATTTAATAACCAATAATTTTGTAGAGCTCCAAGTTGTTTCATGTAGGTTGGCCTTCTATTACAAATTCAGTCATAAGCATATTAAGAGAATAATCATGTAATTTTTTTTCTATTGTTTTTTGCAGCCCTGATCATATGATAAATGTTCAATAAACATTTGCTGATTGTCATGGAGGACAGAAAAGTGGCCAAACAAGACTTGAAATTATACAATTTTAAAGTTAAAGGACTGTACAATCATCCAGATAAACCATCCACTGGCAGGTTTCTCTAGAAATATCCTGGAAAAATAGCTTGTCTTGTCTCTGAGGTGAGTAAAATTGCTTTTTCCTTGTATTTATTCCAGAGGCTCACCTGCTGTGCCCCAGGAGAGCCTTTGCAGCTCCCTGTGGATAGTCTGAGGATAAGCCAACCCCATGTACATTCTCTACACTTTCATTAATGACGGTTACTTGAAAGTCCTATGCTGGGATGCCTTTTGTTTCCATAGGACTTCCTCTAAAAATACCACAAAATTAGGTTGTCAGGGAGATTACATGAAACCCAAATAATACATCTGGTATTTAATTTTAAAAGCACAATCAAGTAAAGACAGTGTTTCTGTGGCTGCAAATTTTAAATCTGCTGCATCGTTATTCTGTTGTCGGCCACCTTCATGATACTTAAAAACATCTCGCCAGGCAAGGGACATAATTCACAACTGCCAGAAGGAACAGCTCAGGACACAGAACAAACACAACCAAGAGACTTGTTGTAGTGGTCAGAATCTGCACATGTCAAATGGTACCTGTACCTGCATTTCCAGGAACGCTGAGCACTGTCCCAATGGAGATTAGGATTGGGTATGTCAGTACTACCCCAACATTCACCAGGATGTTGAAGGCTGTAAAACAGAGGAGGAAATACAGGATAAAGGAGAAATAATATGCTGGACTTTTTTCTTACAGTAAATAAATCAATGTCTCTGTTAAATGTGTCTTTTAAACTGTCTATAGCTTTGGTCCTCTAATTTTGGAGATGGATGCATGTGTACCCTGCCTGAATTATGTAATCATTTTCTTTTCTTCTCCTCTGCCACTCTGTTTACCTGAGCTCTTGCCAATAGGCTGGCAAAAGGTGTTTGGAGCAAATACAAAGAGGTAAAATAATTGATTGACAACACTGCTTATTAGCACTATAAAAGTAGGTTGGGACCAGCCAGACATTAAAAGCAGGTGGTTGATTGAAGTTTGGTGCCTCATCTCTTTATTGCTGTGCTATTTTATGCCACATTTCTGGACATCAAATGGCTCTTGTGTTATTGCCTAAAGGAAGGTCTATCCAATGATAGTCTATGCTGTTTTATCCCCTCTCTCCGGAGGTCAGCATCATAGGGCAAAAAAGGATGGGTTCAGTGTAATTCACTGAATTCCAGAGACTGTCTCCACATTCTGATTTGTGTACAGATAACCAGAGGCAGATCCACAGAACGAACTGAAGGTGTAGTGTAGCTTGATGCTCTTCAATGAATACTTCTGGACCGCACTGGTTAAATATAAAATTAGTTAAAATATTCATTTATCCACTTTAAAACTTATCAAAAACACATGTTTTCAAAAAGAAAATTATTTCAAAAAGTTACAATTTACAAAGCATTATTCTAATAGAGTCCAATCAAATGTTTGTTTCAGGGGATAGAGAGATGAGTGCTGACAAGTGTAAAAGGTCCTCAGTTCAGGGATCTCCACAGCAATGAGGCAAGCATGTTGCCTCTGTCTCTGTAGAACCAAAAGAAGTTCTAGAGCCATTGTAATTAGGATGATTTATGTTTTTCTATTGTCATCTATAATTCCTGCTTTAAACCCAATGAGTCACTTGTGCTTGGTGGTTAGAAACAGTGAGCTTGAGTTTTACAGGACGTGGGCTCCTTTATGTTATTCATATAATAATAGAAGCAAGCAAGGCAGAGGGTATCCCTAAGCTAATAACTGCTCCTCGTTCCTGACAAAGCTGCAGCACGAGTGAATATTCCAGCACTTTGACTCTCTCCTCAGACACAGGGAGTCCAACATGGCAAATTCTTACACATCAGGAATTGATTAAATACAGCACAGGCTCTGCTGAACCCCATATTATGGGGCCTAACCTGAGTTTAAGTGCAATTCAGACATGCTAGGTGAATGGATGAGGCTAACTTGCATTTGGGCTAACACATTTCCTAGCTAACGCATTTCTTGAGAGGAGTGACCCCTAAGTAAACATAAGCAAACAAGAAACCATAGCTAGAGAAGATGTGGGGTAGCTCAGGATGCAGATTGTGTATCTCTCAGATCTGTTTCTCAGCTCAGCCTCAGCTAGATCATGTCTGATCTCTATGGAGAAGAGAGAGATGGAAATAAACACTTAGGAATAGCAGCACTGAAGACTGCAAGACCCTGGGGTGTGTAACAGCTAGGAGAGACTATCTCCTCGATTGCCACAGCACAGCCTGGGCACAGTGAGCTCTGCAGTGCGCTGGGGTGGACCTGGTGGAGCAGTGGCAGTGCTGACTGGCACTGCACCCAGTGGAGTGTGGAGCTCGCACTGCTTGGTGGAGGATGCCAGTGTTCAGCTAGCAGAGGTGGCCTCCAGCCTCTGCAGGCTTGCCTAGGGGCATGTACAGGATATACCAAGGAGCATATGTTGGTGGAGGGCTGCTTTGCAGCCAGGTGGAAATTGTGGGATTAACAATTAGGGGGCTAAGGGCCATTGAAATTTTCATTATGATTGTTCCCAGTTAGGTTGTTTTGGCCAGAAAATAATCAAGGTGCTTTTAATGAGGATGTTTTGGTCTTATGGAAATAGCACTATTGATTTCTACTCAGCAGAGGTTATGAGAGGTGCTAACCGTATAATTTTGGCATTGAAAAGTGGAACTCAAGGGATCAGCAATTAATGTTTGATCCTTTTCTTGAATGTTTCCTGTCTAAGGCCTCCCCTGAGTCTGAGGGGCTGAGCCAGCACAGAAAAAGACGACCCAATCAATACCCTTGCAGGGATGAAAAGAAGGACATTTTGCTCCCAGGAATTGCAGTGCTGCTACGATTTCGAATTACATCACCTCAAGAAAGAAGGTCAGTTGAGGGTTGATGGATGTCCTGCAGGCTGGGGTTGTGGGAACATGTGGAGTGGGCAGAGGGAGTTGACTTCTGAGTAGCATGTGGAGATGGGAGCGGCATGAAAAGGATTTGATTCTGAGTAAACAGACACCAAGTCTTTGGTTTGTCGCTGCTTTTTGACTGCTTGGTGACAGAAGAGCAGCCTTATTTTTTAGGCTCCTCTCACATCAAGTGACAACAGCAGCACAGCTTTAAAAGTCAGATCCTGGAGCTCAGGTGAAGCCGCCAGCCTCAGAGCTATAGGAAGCTGGCAGTGAAGACATTATAAGGACTCCAGGTGATTTTTTTCTTGGCCATTAACTAGGCACCATCTACCCGGCCAGGACCACCAGGCCGAGTGCATGCTGCCATCTCTCTCCTGGCAATGGCTTCCTATCACAAATCCATCCTCCATTCTCAGCCAGAGTGAGCTGTTTCATATGCAGATGTGAGCCCGTCACCTCCCTGCTTAAAGATTATTAAGTAGATTTTAAATCCAAACACCTCAAATTGTCTTTCCAGGCTCTTCCCAACCTGATTACCTCTTAAATAGCCCCCCCTTCCCTCCCTCCCTTCCTGCCTCCCTCCCTCCTCCTTCCCTTCCTTCCTTCCTCCTGAACCCAGTGCTCTCACCAGTTTGGACCACTCTGGTTCTTTGAATTCACCATCTACTCTCTAGCCTCTGCCCAGCACACCATGGCACATACGGAACATCATAACGTGATACATTGCATTAGAAAGAATGAATGAGACTGAAGAATGGATTGAAGGCCAATGGTAAACAGAGAGGCCTGGGCCTCCAGTGCACACCTTAACTCACAGGAGGCACGCTAGTTGGATAGCTTGAACGTGATCAACCAGTAGCTTGCAAAGAACCTTCTAAACATGACCAATGGCATTGATCAACATAAGTTTGGGAAATAGAGCACAGAGTTACCCAAGAAAATAATCCTATGATGATGATCTATCCAAAGAAAGATTGAGTGATATAGGGAATGGAAAGCAAAACCCGAGGCCACTTACCTAGCCACAGCCCTGCCATCCCACAGAGACAGCCCCATGGCAGAGCTGCAAAAGAGGACCAGTGCTCCACCTTGGTGAAATACAGGATGACTGGGGTGAAGGAGATGAAGATCAAATTGAAGAAACCCAAGGTGGAGACAAAGTGTGCAGCTTCCCCAAAGTTGGCACTTCCGAGAAACATCTTAAACAAGACCTGAAATGAGAAAGAAGCTCTACAGTCACACAGAGACTTAGCCAGAGCAGAAAGGTAAGTCTTCCCGTTCTATACTGTGAGCTAACTGGCCCAGAGTTTATTCTCCATTTCTTTTTGCTCTGACATCTTCATGGCACTAGATGGGCTATTGAGAGAAGGAATTAAAATACCCTATAGCCTTCATATGAAATAGTAGATGCCATAAAATGAATTTCTTATGGTGCTGAAAACTGCTGGGTACTGTACATTGTGTCAAGTGCCACCATCAGTGATGGGTATTGGGTGAATGCTAAATAAGGGTCCAGATAAGCCCAGAAAAATCTAGGATTGAAATGCCATTAATCTTTACCTTAAAGCAGGGGATTTGTTTTAACCGTATTTCAAAAGATACTGAAAACTAAATTGGACAGAGAGACCCTGTCATTTTGTTGTTGAGAGAAATAATATTTATGCCTTGGTTTTATAAGCAATTTTCTTTGTGAGCTTAAAACGACTTCATAAATATGGTGCTTGTTCCCCAGATTAAAAAAAAAAACATTTTTTATATAGTATAAACCTGTGTGCAGAGGAAGATAGCAAGGAGAAGCAAATGGCTAACATAAAATCACACAACAGGTTAGGGAGAAAGCCAGGTGTACAGTCCATATTTCTTAGCTCCTTAAGCCCCCACTCCCAATGCTAATCCTGTAAGAAATAACGTAGAGTGAAGCAGATCTCTTCTGCCTGGAATTATATTATGGTGCATATACGACTTGGTCCATGTCAGCAAATATTACCACTCTCAGAATGAATACATTCTGTAACCTGGTCAAGGGAAATCCCTCTGTAAGGCAGCCATTCTAGTCATATAGCAATCCCAGGTACTGCTTCTAATTTCAACTAATCTAATTATTTTTTCCTGTTGAAAGACTTAAAAGAATTTGAGCATGTGCTACTCTTTGGTCACATCAGACATCTTGGTGGATCTCAGTTGGGGAGCAAGTTAGACACTAATGGCCATTGAGTGAACACTTGTCAAGCTTGTCGCACAGAATCAGTGGGCCAAGAAATGTCATTGTGGAAATAGACTTCATGCCCTCTGAGTTACGGTGTTGGTTAATAATCGGAACAGGCTTCCAGGAGGGATGAAAAGGGTATTTTCTGCCTTTCAGAGAGTGTTTTCTCATTGAAACACCAAGAAAGGTGAAATTGGAACCGTTCTTTAGTACATACAGAAAGTTGACTTTTAAAAGTAGAGCTTTGGGGAATAACCTTTTAGATCGTCTCTCTTAGTTCTCATTCCTGAAGTCAGGTGCAGTGACTCTGAATAGAAATTTCTCTGGTGACAGGGAACTCCAGAAGAGAAAAATTGGTGGCTACATAAAGCAGACTTAGAGCATCCATTAGAGAGATAAATAGGTTCTTCATTTAGCTGGGAACATGAGCTCCTGTGGCATGGGGTTAATATATGGCAAAAGGCTCTCTAGTGATAGCTTATTATTTCTAATACCCCTTTTGAGTTAAAATAATGACCATAGATAATTAAAGAAACATAGGGAGAGAAGATGCCTTTCTAATGTTCCTGCTATAACTGCCTGATAAATGAGGGATTAGGGCATAGCACATGGGCTTAGAAGTTGTCTACTCCAGAGTTTAAGTCTGGGCTCTATCCCTTCTTGGCTGTATAATTTGGGGCAAGTTATTTAATCTTTTAAAGCCTCAGTTTCCTCATCTGCAAAGTAGAAGTAAGTATTTATGCCTTGTAAGGTTTTATTAACACAGGCCAAATTTTCAGGCAGATACCCATCACACAACAAGTACTCAATTTACTTACTATTATTTCAACACGTCTATTTTCTTTCTAATCAATGTTTTCATCATACTTTCTTACTTTAGTACATAAGTCATGAGTGACAGTTGCTTACAAAAGAAAGTACACAGCATACCTTATATAATGCAGACGTAGAGGCTGAACCCACAGCAAATGCCACTCCTATGATGGAATCAGCGTGGAAATTATCTGCATACGCCATCATGACGATGCCGGTAATTGCCATTATTGCAGCAACTATCTGTCAAATAGGATGCAAAGAAACAGAAAAGCAATGATGCCTCTGTATCCTAGAGCAGGCAATTCAAGACTTCATGAAAGCTGCTAAGTACTTCCTTAAACCTAATTACCTTTTCTACATCACTGTTTAAATGTAGGAAGGCTAGTTATTAGACATAAATCAATACGTTCATCAGATATCCAGGAATAGAATATAAAAGCTGCTCCCATTCTAATCAAAGACTAGTAATTTTATTATTTTTCAATATATTTTTACTTTTTTAGGCATAGTAATTTAATTTTTTAGCTCAAACTTTCTAGAGATTAACATTTGTACTGGTGAAATTAATAGGAAGTCACTTCTAAGCATTTTCATCTATTCTTCTCTTTCTTTCAAACAATTCAGCATACATTTTAATCAGCTCCTTGGATCAATGTATGTTTCTGAAGATCTCCATCTAATCAGGACCTGATTAAAGAGGCATGATATTGATACACCTAAGAGGCAAAGTTTAGGGCAATGGGAAAAAAGGAAGAAAATGATCTCTCACAGGAATTTATAGAGGAGCAAGCTGAGTTGCACTGTCACTTGGAATGTCAAACGGAAGCCAGTACTTCCTTTTGTTCACATGAAAATTAATTCCACTTTTCAGGAAAAAAAAAACATGGAAAGATAATTGCATTTAATTATTCTAGAGCATTAACTGCACAAAGTGGAATATTCATAATTCACCTGAAATCATAGTATACTGTAAATTGATATGATTCTTGCTACATTCAAAACAGGAGTCTACTCTCTTAGTGAAATGCTGGTTTGCATCATCTGTTTAATTGTCTTGAACTGGTTCTACTGGAAGACAGTTCAAAGATACAGCAAACAGTAAAATAACAATGCTGGAACAGGTGGCAGTATGTCATTTCCCTGTGAAATGGTTTCACTGACTTTAAAATCCAGATGAAAATATGTGAGAAATTTAAACCTACATGGTGATTAATTTTGTTAAGCTTCAGTTCTGAGTATTCCCAAGTAAAGAAGTTCTTCTGTAGATAGCTTTTTCACAGATGTGATTTTTGGGGGCCCTTTTAAACACTATTAGTCAATTACTTTTTATAACGTAGATTTTTAACGGGATTATAGACTCACTTGAGGCCAGTGCAAAGAATGTTTCCAATGACATAAAATTCAGAAACTGCTAAAGCACGTCTTTTGTTAATGACCACCAAAAGCAAGGTCCCACTTGGTGTCAGAGTAGCTCTATACTAAAGTGTAGAGCTTAGAAAAATTGCAGGAGTACTTGAGAATAGACTTAGACATGTCAGCAGTGAAAAACCATTTTCATTAAACGTTATCCAGGAGGCTGCTTAATTGGAGGCAGTTTTCTTGCTGAGTGAATATCATATTCTCTGAAGCTGCTGGGTGTGTGTTCTGGTTAGACTCTACCTTAAACTATATGGAATAAAATTTAATACACACACCATGAGGTGTTAAGGAAAGTCCCTAAACAATGAGTAATAGACTCATCAGTAAACATGGTGAGGAGGATATCGAGACCTGGAAATTCTATGAGGGTTATCATGATTTGAGGATTAATAGTTCAACCGGGGATTTGCAACAGTTCTTTGGGGGATCTGATTTCAGGGAAATAAAAGGCACATTAGAAATTTGGCATATCCTGATTTAGTTTTGTGTTTAAATAATGTTCACTGGTTAAAGTGTTCATGTGCACAGATAGATTTCCTTCAACAACTGAACATAAGGGATAATACATTTGAGTTAACATTTGTTTTCTTTTAGCTAAGTGTTAGTTGTATTTTCTTGGTCCAATAAGCAAGTGGTTACTTTGAGACAAGGCTAACAAAACAGTGTAAGTCCTAACAAACTTTCAAGTGATGTGCTATTTTTTAAGTTATTAAAAGCATTCTATAATACATTACATGGGTTTGGGCAATTACATATTATAGTATGTAATTCTGGATTTAGAAAATTGTGAAAACAGTCAATTAAACCCCAAAGCAAAAAACAAAAACACTGTCTAGAAAATGACAAGCAGTTGATAGGATTATCCCTAAGATATGAACACAGGTAGGAAGTCTTCCTTTTCTGAGTTAGCCATTAGTAAAAATACATATGCATAAAATTCCTGTTATGTTTCCTGAAGATAGGGATTGGACATGGCTAAAAATTACACAGCTTTGTAGCAATTCAAAATGATAAGCATAATGAGCTTCTTAAAGATCTTCATTACTTGTTATATTCAATTGCTTGTGAAAATATTAGGCTGGACTACTTAAATTGACATATCAATTACAGCAGTGTCTCTTTCAATTGCCTTCACTGAGAGAAGCATTTTTCACTTTAGGGGGCCAGACAATGCTGTTAAGTTGTGAAAGCATGAAAATCGGAATATTTAAAATGTTAAAAAAATTCTCCATGGGATGAGCAGTAATTCTAAAGTTATATAGTAGGGTCCTGGGGCAGGGTGCGGGTGGAGGGTATAGTGGGAATAAATTATTTGCCACATTTTAATTTAAATTTCATAAATATCTGATAGGTCAAATTCTCTATGGCTATGTGTTAGGAAATTTTCAATATATTATTTATACAAATCTAAGTGAAGGAAGAGATCTCAGCTAATCGTGAAAATGAGGAAAAATTGTGGAATGGTTGTTTGGGTGATCTCGGAATGGCTTTGCTTGGCACCATGGGTTTACCTTTAGAGAGTAAATACTCTTTAGATGTCTAGAGAACAAATATCCTAAGCACATATCAGTCACACTCATTTTTGGAATCAGTCAGTCATCAAAGAAGGATTAATAATCTGCTCTCAAAAGAAAAACACAAAATGACATTTCTTGGCCTCAGCCTTCTGGAAATGTGTCTTCAGGAAGCCAGCACCTAAAATATTGTGTTTAAAATGCTCATATGTGCTCATTCACATGATGACAACCACTGAAGTGCTTCTGGGACACATTAACAGCCATATGAGGAATTCTGCTGCTGAAAATACACCATCTAGTGGTGTCACCTGCTCAGCTTCTGAAAAATGTGGGTCTCTTGACAATCTATTCCAGTTCCAGCCTCTTAACCAACCAGAAGCGTCTAAATAAGATAGAAAACTAGAACAGGCAAAGTGGCTCATGCCTGTAATCCCAGCACTTTGGGAGGCTGAGGTGGGTGGATCACTTGAGGTCAGGAGTTGCAGATCAGCCTGGCCAACATGGCGAAACTTTGTCTCTACTAAAAATACAAAACTTAGCCGGGCTTTGGTGACACATGCTTGTAATCCCTGCTACTTAGGAGGTTGAGGCAAGAGAATTGCTTGAATTCGGGAAATGGAGGTTGCAGTGAGCTGAGATCACACCACTGCACTCCAGCCTGGAACACAGAACAGGACCCTGTCTCAAAAAAACAAGACGGAAAACAAAACAAAAAACCTTCACCATTACCATTATCTGACTGTGGTGTAGGAGAGAATGTTAGTAACCATAGTGACCCTAAAACTGCCAGTACCTCCATTTAAAAGTTTTAAACCTCTCTGCCCTCACACATTGTGGTGTGCCCACCTGGGGTGAGTCATGGAAGGAAGATGATTTATTTAGCCCATTATCTCAGCAAGCCAACTGAGTGGCATGGCCTTGTGAGCCAGCTATCTTCCTCTGCAGGCTGTGGCCCTCAGAGAACTCTCAGCGCCAATTTTCAGAGCCAATCAGAGGGGATCCATGTGGCCATTTGAGCCTGTTCCTAAAGCCCAGAGAGGGCTTTATCAGGGGACATTTGGTGATCTCACTGTACTAAATGCCACCTGTGACCCTGCATGGAAGTGGTTTCTTTTATCTTTCAAAGAATTAGTTTGTGCAGATAAAGCCTAAAGAAATATCTGGCTTTGGGCTGTTTTCGTTTTCTTGTATCTTCGTTTTTTTCTTCTCTTTTGGCTCAGGTGATCAAAAGCCCACAAGGGTTTGGTCCTTCTCTACATCTCCATGAGAGGTTATCAGCCTTACCCCATTCACTATGGCTCCCATTCATAGATGGTTTTCACAATTCTTATTTTGCATTAACAGTACCAGCTCATTTATGGTCCAAGGTATTGGATGAACCTTTAGTTGCTTCTCTTCCTACAGTGTTCCTTTAAGATTTTAAAGGTCAAAATGAGTGATTATAATTCAAACATGTTTCCTTACTTTGCCTTGAAGGTAATTCTGTTTCTCAAAGCTAAGTGAGTATGAAGCAGCTGGTTCACAAATGAAACCTTGAATTCCAAAGCCTTCAGCAGCCCCTAAAAATGCAGATCTCAGACTCCACTGCTGGCAGCTGGTGTCCTCAAGTTGAAGACTGAAGGTCAGTGGTTGTGGTTGGGACACATATTAACAGTTTGACCAAAGAGAAACATGCTGATGATTATCTCTGTCTGGGTAAACTGAGATAGTCGATTTTCAAGGAACTATGGCTATACAGAACCTTAAACTTCTGCATATTTTATATTTAAGATTCTGTGAAAAACTGTCTTTTACTCAGATTCAGTTAAACTGAAAAAGTGCTGAAATGTGAAAAATAAGAGGTGCGGCCATCTATAGCTGTCCAGATGCTGTGTATGAGAGGGGGTGAGGGGCATGTTGGCCAGCTGCAAATCCAAGGGATGCTGTGCCTCTGAAATCCTCCTCTCCCTACATGCATGGATTTTTGTATAAATAAAATCCATTTGAAAATGATCCCAAAGAGAGACCTGGATGTCAAAGATGTAAAGAAATCCCATGCAGAAAGAGTGAAGGATATATGTGGAGGGTAGGCATACTGACTGCACTTTGTTGAAGGGGTTATGGATTCCTTGTGGGTGTAAAATCAGACAGCCAGCACAGCCCGGCTGTCTCCTTTCTTGGCTGTATTCATAAGTAATTGTCCTGCCAACATGGGGATAAGAGGGAAGGTGACTCCCACTGTCCATCCTCCATTGCCTCTTCCAGGAAGCAGGGAAGTTCTGGGTGGAGAATTCTGCATTGCACACGAATCAAGAGTAACCAAAGGCAAGATGGGAGACAAATTGTCAAATTATGTGTCATCTTAACTGTTAATATCAGCATAAATCAGTAGCAGCTCAGCTCCAATATACTGTTTCAGAGCATTCTGGGGCCCAATTTGAATTCAAAGTAGTACATGCTGTGCAATGAAAGATTCAGTTTAGCTGAGGTACTTCAGTTAGTTTTTGGTAGATCCTGGAAAGTCTTCAAAACAGCCATTGTTTGAGAAGCTAACTGTATAGGGACCTAAATATAGCTGGGGAATATGTGGTTCCCAAGCCAGAGGGATACTAATTCATTTCATAATCTGCTTAGACAGTTGGGATCTGCTGCACCATCCACCAACCGCCAATGTTTGCCATATCTTCAAGGAAACTAGAAAGTATAAGAAAAATTTGAATATTATAAAAAGTAAGAGAGAGACAAAATCTGAAAGTTTCTACCACTCTAGTCTAGAATCCACTTTTCATTGGCATAAAATGGATGCCAACAGCAGAGAAGAAAACTCCCAGCTGGTGGTATATTTCCCTTGGGAAAAGCTTTTTTTTTTTTTTTTTTAAATTAAGGTGGGTTCTCTAGTTCTTAAGAATTTAAGAGCTCTAGCTAAACAATGATAAGGTCTGAGAGACAGGAAAACAACCATTTTCAAAGCTGCAAGAGCTGGATTATCATTTTCTAACATTTTTGCAATCAAAAATTATCTTTTAAAGAAGTTTACTAATTTTCATGGGATGATCACAGATGAGCTGCAGGCAATTGCTCATGATAGGGCTTTTTAACGCACCAAAGATGACCAATAAATTTGTTGAAATAACTTCATAATAGAAAACTGAATGTAAAACAGACTAGCTTTCCATCTGTAATTCAGCGTTCAAAGGAAACAAAATATTAGGAAGTTATTCATAATACATAATTCATTTTTATGTGAGCATTAGTAATTCTGGCCTACTGGTGGCCAGATAAACCCATATTTATGATGTTGTAATGTAAATCATCTTTCACTTTGTTCGTGGTATTCTTTTTACATTAAAAAAAGTAAAGAAGGCCATTTTAAATGTGCTTATTCTTGGGGCTAAGCATATGAAAATTAAAATCCAACAAACATCTGTTTCTAAACTACTGATGCTTTAGCATGAACCAGAAATATAAATTTTAATCTGATGACGGAAAGCATCCCTTTAACTGCTTTTTTCTAAGAGTAGTCCAGCGGGATAACATCTGGAGGGGCTATGCTTTAGATTATTTATGGATTTGGGCAGTAAGAGCTACATTTGTGTTGTCAGTGCTGTTTGCCCTCCTTAATTTCTCAAATGACCTAATTATATGTGTTCTCAATATGTCTTGGGAGGAAAAGAATTGCTGATACTGTCAAAGGCAAAATGCTGAATATGTTTTGGTGCTTCTCACATTCCATGGCCTGATTATGGGCATCACTAAAATTACACTTTACTATTCTTCTGGACATGGCATTGAACACATCCCAATGTTTCACAGTGAGAAGTGAAGCACTTCCTCTTACTTAAAAAGAAAAATAGCCTACTTTTTCAGGGTGCCTGACACTATTGTTTACTATTCTGCCACCTATGATGTCTTCACTTATGGCTATGCTTATTAACAAGCACTTGTGAACGATTTAACATTTCTTCTGCTGAGTCTTAATTACAGATGCTGTATTAGTTTCCTAAGGCTGCGGTAACAAATGATCATAAACTTGGTGACTTAAAACAACAGAAATTAATTCTCTCATGGTTCTGAAAGCTGGAAGTTCAAAACACAGCTGGGACACAAGGCATCTCTAGGAAAAGATACAGTCCTTGCCTCTTCCAGGGTTCTGGTGAATGTCCTGGCATTCCCGGCTGGTGGCCACATCACTCCAATCTCTGTGTCTGTGGTCACATTGCTGCCACCTCTTCTGTGTGTGTCTCTTGTGTGAGTCTCTCATGAGGACGCTTGTTACTGGATTTAGGTCTCACTCAGATAATCCAAGATGATCTCCCCTTTTCAAGATTCCTAAGTTAATAACATCTAAAAAGACCCTTTATCCAATAAGGTCACAGTGACAGATTTAGGGGAATTAAGATGTGGATAGATCTTTTCTGGAGTTACCATTCAACCCACTGCAGATGGCAAATTTAAAATGGCAATGATTAGCGGCCTCTAGGCAGATTTCTTAAATCTGCTATTTAAAGGCAATTTACACAGCTGTTTTTTTTTTTGTTGTTGTTTGTTTTTTTCTCAAAAATACCAGAAACAAACATTGTATCATTTTGGGTATAATCTCTTGCATCAGTGAGGTCCATGGTTAAATGTGCTCATTCACTCTAACACAACTGATTTTATTACTGGTAAATCTAATCATGGCTGTATGGATTTAATTTTGGCATTTGGATGTCACTAAAAGAACAGAAAAGCCTCCAAATCTCTCTTCTCCCCTCTTTTGACAAGACTTTCCAGGTTCTTATGGGTGGTCCATGGTAGTGAAAGATAGTGAAAAGAAAGATCTCAGAAGTGTAAGTTCATTTACTGTATTATCCAATGTCAACTGAGCCCCCACTTTGTGCCCTGCAATATTCTAGATGTCGGAAATAGACAGGGCTGACTTCCTAGGTGATGGCTTATGTCGATATCTAGGGTCCCGTGCTTGGAAGGTCCCCGCCCTTGCTTGGTTTAATGCTCTGTTGTTATCTTGAAACTATTAACAGTTTTTAACAGAGCCCCTGAATTTTCATTTTGCATTGGGCCCCATGGATTAGGTAGCACATCCTGAAAAGAACAATGAACAATGTAGGAAAACTCCCAGCCCTCAAGGACTTGGCAGGGTACCTGATGGTAGACAGCCAGCACCAGTGCCCCAGGCATAAATACATGATGCTCAGCCCTTTGGGGTCAAATCTAAGATAAGCCACTAAAGAATGTAGTATCACATTTGGATATATTGTATCACCGATGGATGCACACAGTTTCTGATTTTGTCTTCTATCAAAGTTTTCTACTTACAATACATATCAAGCTATATTTCTAAATTTCTGAGCAGCATCTCCCAATATACAATCAGAGTTTTCTAATTGGATTTTTTTTTTTTTTCAAAGAAAGCTTTCGGGAGAGCCAGCAAGATGGCTAAATAGGAACAGCTCTGGTCTGCAACTTCCAGAGAGATCAACACAGATGGTGAGTGATTCTTGCATTTTCAACTGAGGTACCCAATTTATCTTACTGGGACTGGTTGGACAGTGGGTACAGCCCATGAAGGTGAGCTGAAGCAGTGCGGGGTGTTGCCTCGCACCCAGGAAGCCCAAAGGTTCAGGGTATTTCCCTTTCCTATCCAAGAAAAGCCTTAAGAAACGATACCAGAAGGAACATGCACTCTGATCCAGATACTGCATTTTACCCACAATCTTCACAACCGGCAAACCAGGAGATTCCCTTCAGTGCCTGGCTCAGTGGGTCCCACCCCTATGGAGCCCAGCAAGCTAAAGTACACTGGCTTGAAATTCTCACTACTAGCACAGTAGTCTGAGGTCAACCTGGGATGCTTCAGCTTGGTGGGAGGAGGGGCATCTGCCATTGCTGAGGCTTGAGTTAGGCAATTTTACCCTCACAATGTAAACAAAGCTGTGGGAAGTTCAATCTGTGTGGAGCCCACCACAGCTCAGCAAGATATAGTGAAAAGAAAGTGAAAAGTGTGGACACTTTTCACAATCTGCGGGCAGATTGTGCCTCTCTGGGCAGGGCATCTTTGAAATAAAAGGCAGCAGCCCCAGTTAGGGACTTACAGACAAAACCCTCAACTCCCTGGGACAGAGCACCTGGGGAAAGAGGCAGTTGTGGGCGCAGCTTCAGTAGACGTAAACATCCCTGCCTGACAGCTCTGAAAAGAGTAGCAGGTCTCCCAGCAAGCATTCGAGCTCTGATAAAAAACAGACTGCCTCCTCAAGTGAGTCCCTGACCCCCACGTATCCTGACTGGGAGACACCTCCCAGTAGGGGCCAACAGACACCTTATACAGGAGAGCTCTGGCTGGCGTCTGGCAGGTATCCCTTTGTGATAAGCTTTCAGAGGAAGGAATAGGCAGCAATCTTTGCTGTTCTGCAGCCTCTGCCAGGGATACCCAGGCAAACAGGGTCCAGAATGGACCTCCAGCAAACTCCAGCAGACCTGCAGCAGAGGGGCCTGATTGTTAGAAGGAAAACAGGAATAGTATCAACATCAACAAAAAGAAAGTCCACTCAGAGACCATATTCGAAGGTCACCAACTTCAAAGACCAAAGGTAGATAAATCCATGAAGATGTGGAGAAACCAGCACAAAAAGACTCAAAATTCCAAAAACAAGAACAAGAACACCTTTTCTCCAAAGGATTACAACTCCTCACCAGCAAGGGAACAAAACTGGACAGATAATAAGTTTTATGAATTGATAGAAGCAGGCTTCAGAAGGCGGGTAATAACAAACTCTTCCAAGCTAAAGGAGCATTTTTAACCCAATATAAGAAAGCTAGGAATCTTGAAAAAAGGTTAGATGAAGAGCTAATTAGAATAACCAGTTTAGAGAATAACATAAATGACTTGATGGAGCAACCCCAAGACACATAATCATCAGATTCACCAAGGTTGAAATGAATGAAAAAATCTTAAGGGCAGCCAGAGAGAAACATCGAGTTACCCAAAAAGGGAAACTCATCAGATTAACAGCAGCATTCTCCGGCCCCACTCTCTTCTGGCTTATAGAGTTCCTGCCAATATTCAACATTCTTAAAAGAATTTTCAACCCAGAATTTGATATCTAAGTTTTCATAAGTGAAGGAAAAATAAAAACCTTTACAGACAAGCAAATACTGAGAGATTTCATCACCATCAGGCCTGCCTCACAAGTCCTCCGGAAGGAAGCACTACGCATGGAAAGGAACACACTACCAGCCACTGCAAAAACATATTAAATTGTAAAGACCATCAACACTATGGAGAAACTGCATCAACTAATGAGCAAAATAATCAGCTAGCATCATAATGGCACAATCAAATTCACACATAACAATATTAACCTTATGTGTAAATGGGCTAAATGACCCAATTAGAAGACATAGACTGGAAAATTGGATAAAGAGTCAAGAACCATCAGTGTGCTGCATTCAAGAAACTGGTCTCACATGCCAAAGACACACACACAGGTTCAAAATAAAGGGATGGAGGAAGATTTACCAAGCAAATTACAAACAAAAAAACTTTAAACCAACAAAGATCAAAAGAGACAAAGAAGGGTATTATATAAAGTAATCAATGAAACAAGAAGAGCTAACTATTCTAAATATATATGCACCCAATACAGGAGCACCCAGATTCATGAAGCAAGTTCCTAGAGACCTACAAAGAGACTTAGACTCATAATAGTGGGAGACTTTTACACACCATTGTCAACATTAGATCAACGAGACAAAATTAACAAGGATTTCTAGTACTTGAACTCAGCTCTGGACCAACTGAACCTAATAGAAATCAACAGAGCTTTTCACCCCAAATCAACAGAATATACATTCTTCTCAGCACCACATCGTACTTATTCCAAAATTGACCACATAATTGGAAGTAAAACACTCCTCAACAAATGCAAAAGAACAAAAGTCATAACAAACAATCTCTCAGACCACAGTGTGCAATCAAATTAGAACTCAGGATTAGATTAGAACTCACTTAACTACATGGAAACTGAACAACCTGCTCCTGAATGAAATAAAGGCAGAAATAAAGATGTTCTTTAAAACCACTGAGAACAAAGATACAACATACCAGAATCTCTGGAACACATTTAAAGCAGTGTATAGAGGGAAATTTATAGCACTAAATGCCCACAAGAGAAATCAGGAAAGATCTAAAATCAACATCCTAACATCACAATTAAAAGAACTAGAGAAGCAAGAGCAAACAATTCAAAAGCTAGCAGAGGACAAGAAATAACTAAGATCTGAACAGAACTGAAGGAGATAGAGACATGAAAAATTCTTAATGAATACAGGAGCTGAATTTTTGAAAAGTTCAACAAAATAGACTGCTAGCCAGACTAATAAGAGAGAGAAGAATCAAATAGGCAAAAAGAAATTACAAAGGGGATATCATCACCAATCCCACAGAAATATAAACTACCATCAGAGAATACTATAAACACCTTTACATAAACTAGTAACTCTAGAAGAAATGGATAAATTCCTGGACACTTACACCCTCCCAAGACCAAACTAGGAAGAAGTTCAATCCCTGAATAGACCAATAACAATTGGGACAATTACTGAAATTGAGACAGTAATTAATAGCCTACCAACCAACCGAAGTCCAGGACCAGATGGATTCACAGCCAAATTCTACCAGAGGTACAAAAAGGAGATGATACCAATCATTCTGTAACGATTCCAAACAATAGAAAAAAGAGGCTAGCATCATCTTGATACCAAATCCTGGCAAAGACACAACAGAAAAAATTTTAGACCAATATCCCTGATGAACATTGATGTGAAATTCTCAATAAAATACTGGCAAACCAAATCTAGCAGCACATGAAAAAACTTTTCCACCATGATCAAGTCAGCTTCATCCCTAAGCTGATGCAAGGCTGGTTCAACATAAATCAATAAACAGAACCAATGACAATAACCACATGATTATCTCAATAGACACCAAAAGGCCTTTGACAAAATTCCACAGCCCTTCATGCTTACAAACTCTCAATAAACTTGGCATAGATGGAACGTATCTCAAAATAAGAACTATTTACGACAAATCCACAGCCAATACCATAGTGAATGGGCAAAAACTGGAAGCATTCCCTTTGAAAACCAGTACAAGACAAGGATGCCCTCTCTCACCACTCCTATTCAACATAGTATTGGAAGTTCTGGCCAGGGATATCAGGCAAGAGGAATAAAGGTATTCAATTAGGAAAAGAGGAAATCAAATTGTATCTGTTTGCAGATGACATGATTGTATATTTAGAAAATTCCATCATCTCAGCCCAAAATCTTTTTTTTTTTTTTTAAATCTTCTTAAGGTGATAAGCAACTTCAGCAAAGTCTCTGGATACAAAATCAGTGTGCAGAAATCACAAGCATTCCTATACACCAGTAATGAACAAACAGCAAGCCAAATCATGAGTGAACTCCCATTCACAATTGCTACAAAGAGAATAAAATACCTAGGAATACAACTTACAAGGGATGTGAAGGACCTCTTCAAGGAGACCTACAAAACACTGCTCAAGGAAATAAGAAAGGACACAAACAAATAGAAAAGCCTTCCATGCTTATGGACAGAGGTAGAATCAATATTGTGAAAATCGCCAGGCTGCCCAAAGTAATTCATAGATTCAGTGCTATCCCCATCAAGCTACCATTGACTTTCCTCACAGAACTGGAAAGACCTACTTTAAATTTCATATGAAATCAAACAAAAGCCTGCATAACCAAGATAATCCTAAGCAAAAGAACAAAGCTGGAGGCATCATGTTACCTAACTTCAAACTATACTTCAAGGCTACAGTAATCAAAATGGCATAGTACTGGTACCAAAACAGATATAAGTCAAACCCCTGAATAGACCAATAACAATTAACCAATGGAACAGAACAGAAGCATCATAAATAACACCCAACATCTACAACCAGCTGATCTTTGACAAACCTGACAAAAACAAGCAATATGGAAAAGGATTCCCTATTTAATAAATGATGTTGGGAAAACTGGCTAGCCACATGCAGAAAGCTGAAACTGGACCCCTTCCTTATACCTTATACAAAAATTAACTCAAGATAGATTAAAGACTTAAACATAAGACCTAAAACCATAAAAACCTAGAAGAAAACCTAGGTAATACCATTCAGGACAGAGGCATGGACAAAGACTTCATGACTAAAAAACTAAAAGCAATGGCAACAAAAGCCAGAATTAACAAATGGGATCTAATTAAACTAAAGAGCTTCTGCACAGCAAAAGACACTAGCATCAGGGTGAACAGGCAACCTACAAAATGGGAGAAAAATTTTGCAATCTATTCATCTGACAAAGGGCTAATATCCAGAATATACAAGGAACTTAAATTTACAAGAAAAAAACCCCATCAAAAATTGGGCAAAGGATATGAACAGACATTTCTCAAAACATTTATGCAGCCTACAAACATGAAAAAATGCCCATCATCACTGGTCATTAGAGAAATGCAAATCAAAACCACAGTGAGATACCATCTCATGCCAGTTAGAATGGTGATCATTAAAAAGTCAGGAGACAACAGATGCTGGAGAGGATGTGGAGAAATAGGAATGCTTTTACACTGTTGGTGAGGTTGTAAATTAGTTCAACCATTGTGGAAGACAGTGTAGCAATTCCTCAAGGATATAGAACTAGAAGTACCATTTGACCCAACAATCCCATTACTGGGTATATACCTAAAGGATTATAAATCATTCTACTATAAAGTCACTTGCACACTTATATTTATTGCAGCACTGTTCACAATAGTAAAGACTTGGAACCAATCCAAATGCCTATCAATGATAGACTGGATAAAGAAAATGTGGCACATATACACCATGGAATACTATGTAGCCATAAAAAAGGATGAGTTCATGTCGTTTGCAGGGCCATGGATGAAGCTGGAAACCATCATTCTCGGGAACTAACAGGAAGAGACAACCAGACAAACATACCTAATGTAGACGATGGGTTGATGAGTGCTGTAAACCACCATGGCACATGTACATGTATGTATCAAACCTGCACGTTCTGCACATGTACCTCAAAACTTAAAGTATAATTTCAAAAAAGCAGCTTTCAGGGTTAATGATTATCATAAACCTTAGTTTCAGCATTTAGGAGGGGGAAAGGACCTTGGAATTGATGCCAGTAAAAGCAATGTTTTGATAAGAAAATATGTTTCAAATTCTATCTTGGATATCTCTTTCTGAGAAGCTATATTGTATAATATTGATATTCTGAGAAAACGCAATTCATTTGTACTTCCTTCTAAAGAAATGTTGTCTCTATATTTTCATCATAGTGGCATGCCATATTATATGAATGAGATCTGACTCCTTAAATCTTCAGGGCTTCCAAGCGATCTCGTTTTAACATGGAGCCAGCATATATGGATATATATCTCCATATTACTCCTGAAAGGAATAAACTCAGAACTGAAGTTGTTGGTGCAAGTTTAATGCAGTTCAATTAAAGATTTGTACCCAAAATAAGTTGTTGCTTGCACTTCCATATCTGCATTAGTCACCCACACTAGATGTATAGTCACTTTTAACAGCATTGTGCCATTACTAGTGACTTTAATTGCTGTTTGGTAATCTTATCTACTCACACCAATATTAATTAAATCCATCTGGTGTGAGCAATAGGGGATTGTCAACATATGATGACTGAAAAATGCAAATCATGATCTTTATAGTGGCTAATTTTCTCAGTCCCTTTATTCCTGAGGAGAGAAGGAGTTGATCACACCATTAATTCTAAAAGTTATGAAATAGGAACTTGTTTTCTCTGTCTGCTTTAGTGCCTCCTGTTGGAATCAGCTCACTGACCAGTGAAAACAACTGATGTTGGAACTGCCTGGGCTTCCTAACGCATCTTCAGATTTCAGTTTGTACTGAGAACAAATGAGAAAAGTTTTACAGAAACTCCATGAAACAAAGCAGATAGGCTCTCCTGACGCCAAGGATTTACAATAAAGGCAGGCATCGCTCACTGAATCAAGTGTGCCATTACCCTCACTCCCATGAACCTGTCTTTCAGCACAATCCATGACAGCAAGAAGACAAAGGCTTTGTTACAACAGAACAGAGCAGAGACATCCGTGGCCGTCAGCTTCTTTAAAGCCAGTAAATAAAGGTAATTAGTCAAAGTCCATAGAATAGAAAAGGGAGCAGTTCTTTTAAGAAAGAGCTTCAGCGTCAGACCATCTTCACCGAAAATCCGACTGCATTCCCTAGGAAAGAAAAGAGAAGTTAATACCCAGGTACTGATGGTGACACATCTTGTCTTATCTGACTCATCACAGCCATTTTCAGGTAAGAGCACAAACACTCATACCCGTCCTTCATCTGTAAAGTGTACTGAACCCAGTTCTGAAATCTGCAGGCTTCAGGGGAGTGTATGTTTCCTTGAAAAACAGCCCACATCTGCCTAGGCACAGAGCTAGACCCTCTTCTCTGAGATATTCTCTGGAGGCTGCCTGAAAAGCCATTCTGCCATTTCTGAGCATTCTCAGAAGGGCCTGAAGAAATACAGAAACAGGTAGTAGCTGAAATCACTATTGGAAGAGGGAGAAGATCCTTCCTCAGTGGGCAAGAGAGAGAGGGTCAAGGCTGCTACTACTGTGTGAACAGGCTACAGACAATTCCCAGAATCTGTAGGGAAAGCGACCCTCATATGTCTGTGCAGCACATGTTTTGGGATTTTATTTCTAAGACCACTATGCCTCTTTCTAATATATTTGCCCAATTTACTAATGGATTTTTCCTGCTAGCATTTTTAAGGCAGAAAAATTAAAGTCTCTGTGATCACCCCCACATGACAAAAACTAAATAGAAAACTCAGTTGTACTTATATACAAACATTTGGCCATTTTGGAGGAATTGTCTGAATGTGGGGTGAAAAAATGGTCACTTCAGTTAAATCTTTGATGATTTGTTTGATTTTCATTTAAATTGGCTATATGATTTTTTTTAGGTCTGGTTCAGACTGGAATGCAGTGGCATGATCTTGGCTCACTGCAGCCTCCACCTTCCAGATTCAAGCCATCTTCACGCCTCAGCCTCCTCAGTAGCTGGGACTACAGGTACGCACTACTGTGCCCAGCTAGTTTTAACAATTTTTTTTTGTAGAGACAGGATTTCACTCTGTTGCCCAGGCTGGTCTTGAACTCGTAAGCTCAGGTGATCTGTTAGCCTTGGCCTCCCAAAGTGCTGGGATTACAAGCATGAGTCACTGCGCCTGGCTCTGAGGGGCGCTTTCAATAAAAATGTTCAAGCTAGCAATGCATACAGGCAATAATGGAAGTGATACAATGACAGTGCCCATATGACTATGGACTGAAAACAGAGTTACCACAGGGAGTGTTTCACTTAATTTTTTTCTACTCAATTGTTAATGAACATTCAAGCATTTATGGAGCAACTGTCATGTTCTAGGCATGGTATTTTCATGAGCAGTATAAGTAATCTTGTTCAAAGCAAAACATTATTAATATTTGCATATGTTTATAATGAAATCTCTATACAGGACTCTAGTACTTGCACTAGTTTCTGTTCCAGTTTTAACTGAAATTAGTGTCTCTCAAAGTATTGCAAATCAAAGTAAATTCTAGCCAATGTTTGCCTCCCATGAATGATGTAACCCCAAAAAAGGAACACATGGAGAGCAGGAGTGATAAAGAATTTAGATGCAGGAAGTATAGCCTTAAACATTAAGTTTCATAGTAAATGTGGCTTTCAACTGGATGAGAATGTTGCGAGTTGCAGGTCAGCGATTCCAGGAAGGTTAAAGACGTGTTGCTCACACAAACTTACACTGAAATTTGTTTACTTTCATGTCAGACACTACTAAAAAGGAACGTTTTTTGTAAAATGAAAGTAGTATTTCCCAAAGGTAAATGTTAACTTGAAAGAGACAGAACTTCAATGAAGGGATTAAATAATTTAAAGCCTTCTGTAAAGTAAACAAATTATACATGCTTACGTACACAGGAAAGAGTGAGTATTTTCTCTGGAGCCCCACAGCCAATGGGATATTCTGAATTAGCACCATACATAGAACCAGAAGAGGTTTCATGGAGCATCCTGGGCACAAAGTTCATATTCTGTACTTGTAAGGCGATCTGCTCTGTGAGAAAGCTGCCATTTGGAGCTGGAGCTAAGAGTTGTGGGTTTATCCTACCATTTACAACCACTGAATGCCTTTTAAAATATGAACACATTTATTACAAACCGCAATTAAACCCATTTCTGATTAAAGGATTTCTTTTTCTTATCACAGGTCCTAGCCAGTGATGATTCTTCAACTGAGAGCCCACCATCATGCTGGGAAGAGTGCTCCTCAACAAAGATTTTGGTTGCAGGAAGGGAATATTCCAATCCCACAGGAAGACCAACAGATGTGTACTCCAGACAGGCAGCGCCTCACGGGCAAAGCATCTGGGAATACGCTGCTACCAGGCAGAGACTGTTCTCACCTGGCTCACCCTGTCTCCCAGGTATTTGTTCCCACATTGTTCCCCTTTTCTTCCCCTTCTCCTCTCACTGCCAGCCTTGTCTCCTTTGTCATTGTTGCTGTAGAAATTATAAACATTCTCCATCCAAATGCCAGGTCACTTGTGTAAAATCCCATACTATTTAAGCATTAAGCACTAAAACAGGAAAACTAAAAAAAAAATGGATTTTTATGGAGAAGCAAATAATGGTGGGTTTGTCTTTGGGATGGTAAGATCAGACTTTCTGGGCAAGCGACATTGACAGGTGGTATAGCTTGAAAGAAAGTGTGGAAGTTGGAGGACACTAATAATTATTATTTAAACATCAGCTACTAGTTATTGAACCCTTTATTTATGTTAAATAGCATCTTAAGCACATTTCATAGGTGCCTGACATAGGCAAATATATATTTGGCTTTAGTTTTATGTTTTCTAAAGTTTTTTCCCTAAGAAGACATTCTTGTTAGTAATATGGTATATAATTTTTTTCTTCCTAAATTTCAAATTCACCTGAGGCGATTGAATTTTCTAGTATATAAGCAAAATGATTATCAAAAACTGCTTCTAAATAGACAGTCCTCACCATCTCGATTTGATTTATTTAACATTATTTTGATGTCACTGATAAGAAAAAAACTGGAAATGCTTTCATACCATTCTAGAGAAAATAGAGTTTCTGGTGCTATGGGACAAATCCTATTTCCAGTCTTACATACTAACTCTATTTTCCCTTGTTCAGTCATGAGAGCTTTGGGAGTGACTTCTTGGCAGATGGTATTAATGAGTCTACAGGGAAAAAAAGGATCTAAGAATTGTCTGACAATTTTACCTCTCACATGGAGGAGGCCACTGGAGAATATTCCCTTCAAAGATGGTGTTTTCTGCTCGACAGTAAAAGCTCTTTGATTCTGTTTCAGAAATGGTCAACTTCACTCTATGTGGACTATAGATAGAGTGCTAAATCAGCAATTTTACAAAGTTCAGAGTTAGTCTGACATGAGAGATGTGGAAAAGATGAAGTTCATTCCCAAAGCAACATTTCTGCTAGCAGCAGTCTCTTGTTTTAAATCAGTTACCTTAAACTGACTTAGCTTGCTCTGAGGTATTCTTGAGGTACTTCTTTTTATATGAAACTTTTGTTGTTTTAAATCAATATGTATGTTTAAGTAGAACACACACTTTGTATAGGTACACATACGTATATTCAAACAGGGACAGTTTTAGTCTGATAATCACATTCCCCTATAATGACTTATTAAACATTGTTTAAGAACTTCTACAATGCAAGATCATGTCTATTTTGATGGGAATCAAATCCAAACTATCTTTAGTAATCACAGTTACAGGCTCTCTCCCAAACAAAAAGCATTTATTCTTTTTGAATTGTTTTTTAATTCTTTAATTATAACTGAGTTTTCATGGACACATATAGGAAAATCAACTCATGGTGAGAATATTCCCAAGCACTTCCAAAGTGGTGATAGAAAATGGAAGTGGAGGCCAGGCACGGTGGCTCAAGCCTGTAATCCCAGCACTGTGGGAGGCCAAAGTGGTCAGATCACTTGAGGCCAGGAGTTCGAGACTAGTCTGGCCAACATGGTGAAACCCATCTCTACTAAAAATACAAAAAATTAGCTGGGCGGGGTGTTGTGCACCTGTAACACAAGCTACTCGAGACTGAGGCAAGAGGTGAGGGTTGCAATGAGCTGAGATGGCGCCACTGCACTCCAGCCTGGGTGGCACAGCAAGACTCTGTCTCAGAACAACACACACAAAGAAAATGGAATTTGAAGACAGACCCTTCAAGGTTAAGTTTGTAAGAGTCTCATAATGTACCAATTATAATAATCATTTCTTTTCCTTTGGTATAGGGGCAAGAAAGAAAGTTTATTTTGGCCGCTGTAAGATAAAGCTACTCTTCTGAGGAGTAATAAGCCCACATGCAGAACTTTTTTCTTCCATCTGCCATCCATTGATGTCCCTATTTTTTTTTTTCTGGGTGATCACAGCAGTTGTCCTAGAAGTCACTCCGCAGCATCGGGCTTTTCCTCTTTGAGGAGCTGTCAACTAGCAAAGATACTTGGACTGAAATGCTGTTTTTGCCTCCGTTGAGTGCTGTGCAGGACTGTGTGACATCAGCCATGTCGGCTTCCTGAGCTATGCAAGAGGGGATTACAGAAACTAAGTTTAGCATGGAACAACCACTAGAACCATACGACTTTCAGGTAAGCTCAACCACCACTGTTTATGGTTAACAGGGAAACAGACAAAGCCCCTATGTGCATCTAGCCAGCAAAGAATGGCATCTTTTAGAATTTCTTGGTGCCAAACTCTCCCTTACATGAAATGAGGCCATTTCATCTGCTAGGCATCTCGGTATCAGGAATATTGAGCAAATGTTTGTCTAACAATCTTATTAATACCATTTTTTCTGGCCTTGACACACTAGGATGTTGTTATAAAACACTTTACTAAATAGATCTGGATTTAAATCTTAGTTCTATTATTTATGAATAACCTTGGGTGAGTCATTCAACCTTTCTGAATTTGTTTCCTCTTGTGTTAAAATGGGGATAACACCACCTTAAAAAGTAAATGTTGCCACCAGTCATAAGAAGATATGCAAAGGCACCAGTATAGTGCCTGGCATGTTGTAGACACATTTATTTTAAGGGAGGACTGATTCTGCTCCTAGTGCTCATCACCAACCTTAGATCTTGCTTCTTTACATACCCCCAAATACTCAACTCATATTCCCAAGAGATAAAAATGGGCCATTTGCATAAAACATATTTCAATAATCTCTTTTTGACCAGTTAAGATGAAACCTACCTGAATTTTTTCATTGGAGATTGCTTTTCTTGAGCAGTGGCTAGATGACCAGAATAATAGACTGGGAAAAACATAATGTTCCAGTTTGTTGAAAACCAAGTCATGAAAAATGGACAATAGAAGTTCTTATAAGTAATTTTTACAATCTGTGTGGTTCCAACCCAAGATGATGATACTGACAAAATGATCAAGAGTCCCCAGATGGCCTTCAGAACCATGGACGTGCAGGACAGGCAGTGAGCCTTGATTCTGTTTTCTTGGCTGTTGTTCTCAGAATGAGTCTGTGTCCCATCATCTGCTGGAAACAGGAAAGGAATATAAATGTGTGGAAAGCAGGTTATGAAACAGCAATCAAATATATCAACTCCTTAAAAAAGACAGATGAAATCAAAGAGGCAGATAGTGTTTTTCTTTTCTGCCATCACTTAAAGAGACTGATAACTTCAGCTCAATTTTTTTTTTGGACTCTCTGCTCTACACAATGCAGTAAACATCTGAGTCCCCATCCAGTCCATGAGGATGCTCATGGACTTGGCAGATACTATGCTGTTTTTTTAGTGTGTCCTTCCCTTGTAAGAGCATTACCAGGCTCTTACAAGGGAAGGAGCCAAATACTGGTCTTGACCATGTGCCCTGCTTTCTCCTATCAAACATAAGAAGATGTGAAGCATAATACCTCCCACAAGAAGGCTTAGGGGCATCCCAGGGTCCTACCAGCTCTCTTGCTCTTCCCCTCTGTCATTACAATATACAACCCCAAACAGAAGCTGTAAATGACCAGAACCCAGCCAAAGCTGTTCTATATGCACCAACATGAAAAGTGAGAAATATTTTCCTTTTTTTAAAAAAAAATTGCAGCAAATGGCCTGGTGCAGTGGCTCATGCCTGTCCTCTCAGCACTTTGGGAGGCCAAGGTGAGAGAATCACTTGAAGTCAGGAGTGTGTGACCCACTTGGGCAGCAAAGCAAGACCTTGTCTCTACACATACACACACCAAAAATTAGTTGGAGGAGGTGGCATGCACCTTTAGTCCCAGCAACTCCAGAGACGGAGGTAGGAGAATTCGTTGAGCCTAGGAGTTTGAGGCTGCAGTTAACAATGATTATACCACTGCACTCCAGCCTAGGTGACAGAGGGAGACCCTGTCTCTTAAAAAAAATGCAGCAGAGATGATTATTAAAAGTAATACGTCCCAAGAATAGAGCAAGTCCTGACTGCACAGTCATTTCCCTCCTCAACACAAATGACTAATGTGTTTCTGGGAGCACAATAAATTCTGCTTTGCACTTTTACTAAGCAGCAATTTTACAGCACACTAAAAATAGCCAAAAGTCTCTAAAAGCGATAATTGTGAAGGCTAGCTCCCTTCATGGAACAAACGAGTTAACATAATGAATTCATGTACCTTTCAGGAAGTTAAACAGGAGCAGAGGTCACCCTGAGTCCCCGAGCTGAGATCCCAGATGGTAACTGTCTACAAGATTCTCTTGTGTCTCTAGGGACCCATGCTGAGGGTTAGTAAAGTAGAGTAGCCCAGAGACTGCAAATGGCAGTGGATGCGGCTGCTCACCTGGTGTCTCCAGAACCTGCTGGCCTTCCTGCTAAATGTGTTCCCACTGCTTAATGAGCCAGGTGTGACTGCCCCACTGTGTTAAAAACCTTTACCCAGTTAAGGCTTTCTGATATAATCACTGGGGGAAGGGAGAAGAAAGCCTTGAAAGCAAATTCTCCAATGGGGAATAGAAACCAAGCAACTATGAATGCTGCAACCACTACATGACTTGTAAGTCTCATAAACAGTACTGAATTCTCAGCCCAGGCATCCAGAAGATGAAAACTGGCAGCCTTATTCATTCAACAAAATCTTATGGAGACTCTACCCAAACCAGCTAAACCTGGTTTCTGTAACTAGTTGTGCTAGTTAGCTACTTGGATCCTAAGGGTTTGAATATGAAATACTTGAGCACACAGTCTAGTTGGAGGCCAGAAAACACACTCAATGCAGTGTGGTAAGAGCCACACGGACAGATACAAGGCCAGACAAGCGCTTGGTGAGGAGTTGGGGGCATATGATGAGAAAAAATGTCCATGATGCAGTGACTGAGATGAGTCTGGAAGTGTGAGTTACTCAGCTCCTTTGGCTGTTTACAGACAACACCTTCTGTTGGTAACAGCTCTGTAAATTTCCGCCATGACCATGTGGCTTTTGCAGAGAGTAGAAAGAAAACTGGGAAAAATAAGAGAATAGAATGAGAGAATCTTGTGTTGAGAGGCCAAGAAAGGAACACAAACCTGACCTATTAAGTAGGCATTATCATTCCCACTTTACAGGTGAAAAAGCTGAGACTTGTGTTAAGGGTTGCCCAATGTTGAACCCAACCCGATCGGTGTGACGCCAGGGCCTAAACTTTATTCTGAATACTCATATGGCTAGGCTTTCAGTCCTTAGCTTTCCATTCAAGCACTGCCAGTTTCAGACTAGTTTGGAAAAAAAGCTGTTTCCTGGCAGGAATGGCAGTCCCACATGGAATTTAAAAAGTGATGCTTAAGAGAAAGGTGTACCTTACTACACTTCAGATCTCATCATTCCCAGGGACTGCCTTATAAAGGAGGAATAATTCAACAAAAATTCTGAGGCAATACCTGCCTTTATTGTCACCTTCTTTGAAGAATGAATATGCATCACCATTATACTATGGGTGTGCTTTTGATGACACCAATAGTCACCTACTTGTTTTCATAGTATTGTTTCCAGGCTTCTTTGGTTACTAGATTGTAAAATTGAAGAATTGCCAACTATCAAAGCACAGAAAGACTAGGTATCCAGAGCTCTTTTGTTTTCTAACCACTTCTAACATTGGTTTACCAGGGTTCTGTCCATTTCTGTATACCTTTATCAAGTCATGCAAATTGATAGCAGAAGCCACTGGAATTTGGAAACATGAGTTTAAATCCTAGCCCTGCCATTATATAGCACTGAGTACATTATTTTTAAATTCCTTTCTTAGCTTCTTTATCTGTCAGTGATAATAGCCATCTCATAGGATTTATTTTGAGATTAAGTACCGTAATATCCACAAAAGCATGGTGAGCTTCTATTCAGATTATTCTCCTTTTCTTCTCTTTGGTGCACTGGAATATCCCCAGGTGCTCCTAATAACCTCAGAAAAAGTAACTTAAGTTCCAGATGATCTTTAATGGTATGGTCTTTGAAATTTATAATCTCTGTATGACAGATAGGGCATGTCTTTATTAACCAGTGTGTTTAATTAACTGGAACATTTTGTTTTGCAAACAACTGGGATAACAGGAATACTGCAATTTATTAAAGCCAATTAAAACCTTCTGGAAATTTAAGAAGATGTCATTATTATTCCTTTTTTCTTTTTTTTTCTAGATTTAGCCCTGGGGTTTACATAGTACCTGAGACATCATTAATTTAAAAATACTGTTTTTGAAGTGTATTTTCTCATAAAAAAATACATTCTCAAATTAGTAGGACCCTAGAAGAAGCTTTCACATTTTCTCTCTTCCCCTGTTTACCCTTCCCCGACCCCTAACTGAATCCTCTGAATTTTTTTTCTTTTTTTAAAGGCACTTTCCCCAAATTTCTGGAGTCTTTTTGTCATCGTTTTTACTAACAACTTATTTTGATGGTGTATTTTGTTGTTTTTGCTGCTGCTGTTACTATTTTTGAGAATGAAAGAGATATTAATACATTGCCAGCCAAGCTGAAGGAACAAATAGGAAAACAGAGAGGAAACAAATGGAGAGGAACAATGGGCCAAAAGAGATGTAGGTGGGGCGATCATGGACACAGGTAGAGGGGCTAAAATTGTAAAGGTAGAAAAACACACACGCCACAAGTCATCCCTCGGTAATGGTAATTGATAAATGAAAGCACATAGACGTTCTGAGGTAGAGGAATGCATTTGTAGCATACAATTGTTTGCTTTTTCTCAGGAACATGGATGTAAGGCCAGTTGCCTTGCTTGGACATGCCCATCCTTCTCCACGTCTGAAAATTACGTCACCGAGTGGTAATTAACACTAAACTCTGCACTCGGCGCTTAGCTCACCATTGGAAATTCTCTTTGCACTCAGCACCAGGATCTGCATTCAACACTATACTCTGCACTCGGCACCTAGCCAGCTGTTGGAAAGCCCCGCCAAAACATGCCCAATAGTGCATTGCCCCGTCCAGCCTGCTCACTGGAAATCCCGTGTACCTACCTATAGCAGCTTGCCACGTCCACGTCCTGTTTCTCCACAGCCAATCAGAGCGCCTTCCCTCCCTCTATAACCCCACACCTGAGAGGAGTCAGGCTCAACTTCTCTGGCCCCCTTCCTCTGGACCATAGAACCTCACCCGGGAGCCGAGTAAATTAGCATCTAATTGTTCTCATGCAGGCCTCAGTTTCCTCATTTTAAACTCAGCAATAAACCTTACAGAGAATAACCCTTACAAGTGGTGCCGAAACCTAGGAGGAGTTGTAAGACCCCTCCTGGGGGAAACTGACTCCTTCATCTGAAGCCAGACCAGGGAACTGCTCCACTACAAGGTAAGACTTCTGTTCCAGGAGGAGTTGTAAGACCCCTCCTGGGGGAAACTGACTCCTTCATCTGAAGCCAGACCAGGGAACTGCTCCACCACAAGGTAAGACTTCTGTTGCCCATAGCCTCTCCCACTGCCTGCCTTGTGGACTCCCTGCTCGTAATTGCGGCCACGTCAGGGACTCCTTCTCATTTCTCACCATGGGCCTGGGGCCCCGGCCTCGTCCCGAGGACCTGAGCATAGAGGAGATGTCCCTACACTCTTGTTCTCTCCCCCTGAGGGGTTTCTCAGGGTCAGGATTCTGAGGGAGATGTCCCCACCTTCCTGAACCCTCTCGTATTCTCCGGTGTTCAGAAGTGCAGTCTGGGACGCCTTCTGAACATCTCTGCAGTAGCGGCCGAGTTTTAGGTATTCAGAAGCCCCGTTTGTGGACCTGAGCCCTGCCTAACAGCAGGACCACATCCTCCAGCTTACGGCACTAAAATGTTTATCTCAAATCAGCCTTTTGGCACATAAGTTTCCATTAATTAAATAACTATACTTTCAGTTTCTCTCCCTAATCCCAAGGGAGTGAGTGAGTTTATGTAGTCCCACGGCTTGATGGCTACGGGACTTGTGTGGGCCTCAGCCCGTGGTTCCATGGGGACATCATAAGGCATAATGGTATTCACCTCAGAAAACTGAAGGTGACCAGGCCCAGGGGTTATACGAGTACACCTTAGCCAAGATGCCCTGAAACATCC